GCAATCACTTTTTCACACAGGGCCATGATGGTTTGGATTATTTTCTCCTTTAATAATAAACACCTTCATTTACAAATTGCATTTTGTGTTTACTTGTGTTGTCCTTAACTATTGTTTAAATTGGTTTGATGTTCCGAAACACTTAAGTGTGACAAACATGCAAAAAAACAGCAAATGAGGAAGGGGGCAAACACTTTTTCACACCACTGTATATCCACCTCTAGACTCCTGAAATGTTTCAGTAGAATTGTCAAAAATGTTTTGTGTCGTCAAAGAACAAGCTCTTACACCAAGATGAGCCTATTCAGAACTACTTGTTCCAATTATTAAAATAAAGAGCTCATAACTAATATTTCATTCTTGGACATGTAAATGAATCACAGTTGCTACTATGTACAGAACATATACCTGGAACATACTACCAATACTTAAAATGTTTAAAATTAGCCAATAATCTATTTTAATTCAGAAGCATCTCAATGACTTTTTGTTGATGTAAATGAGGGGATGTAATGTAAAAAGTTGTAAACCTCTAAAGAAAAGCTCTAGTCTGAAATAATTTAAAGTCAGTGTTCAATTCAATTCAAATTCAATTCAAAAATACTTTATTGATCCCAGAGGTAAATTTTGTGTCGTGTTTGATGGTAAAATCCTCAACAATGGAGGAATATTTACCTCCAGTGACGGCTGTTTATTGACATGAACAGCTGAGGTCGACTCACTGGAAGCTCCTGAAATAAAACATAGACAACTAAGTAGACAGTTAAAAAAACATGTAATGCATTGCTGGATTATTAAGCCAACCAATGCCTATCATACCTGCTTTACCTCAAACATTCAGTTCATAAAAAAACAAACTACATAAAAAAAACTAAAATACTGAGGTTCAGGACAAAACTCCAAAATCCAGGATGATTGAATCCTCAACGACTGATGCTAGATGACAAACAGCAGTTTAAAATAAAAATACATTTTACCATTGCTACCTGAAGAAGACGGCCACTGAGGATGCTCCTGGGAAGTGGATGAGTTGTAGCTCTGAGAGGATCCATCAACACCAGTCAACTCCCCACTACTTCCTCCATATGCAGCCTGAGACATATTCAGTCCACACGATGGAAAATTTACAGACTGATCTTGATCTGGTACGGCCTGACTGAGTAACTGAGCTGGGAAAGTTTTATAAGGGACGTTGGCTGGTGGAGGAGGGAAATGCTGGGAGCTACAAGGCTGTGGTCCTTGGTTTGGTTGGGGAAGAGGTACCGGGGACATTGTTTTTCCCCGGCTTGTTGATCCCGGCATCGATGAAGTGTGAGGGGTTTGCTGAGAAAAAGACATCAGTTGAGACTCAGCGGGGATAGAAGTGTTGTGCAAAATCAAGTTGTTCAACGTGTGATCTGTTGTTAGTTATGCAAATTTAGAGTATTTTTATTTGGTCAATAAAATATTTTTAGATTCAACTAAAGAAATGTGAGCAATTTTTGTCTTTCCAAAAAGCAACTGAACTTGTGGGACTATTCTCTAATTAAACAATAATTAAACTGTATTAATCTTTCAAAAATGAAACGATGTCTACTATACTGATGTTTATGAATGAATGAAAAGTGGCTCAAGGGTACTGGGGTAGTTTTGGGAAATCTATTTGAGTGCAGGTTCTGCAAACTTTGAATTAAAAAACTACAAGTATAAGGCAAATGTTACAATTACTATTCTTAGAAAAAAATTATTCAGATTAGTCAAGACGTATAACTAGCTTGTAGTATCAAGGTCATACCT